AATTTGTACAAAATTTTGATTTATTTGCAGCCTTTCTTAAGGACCTAATTTTGCAATACATGTTCTTAGAGCAGCTGTTCTATAAGAACACCACTAATTAGTTATTTATAGATATGTTGCCTTTAATATTTTCTCTACAAATGGCAAAAACGCTCTGCAGAATTAATCAGTTCATCCCATTCAGCTTGCAGATAGCTCTTAAAGCTTTAGCCTTCGTCTTAGAACTAGTAATTTTTTGAACCATAAAAGTAGCTTTTATTTATTAAATGTCTTTGAGTAGATCCTTTCAACATACTTTGATTAATTGGCTGAAATGACTTGGATTCACATTCTAAATGATAGCTAAGGGCTTCTTTAAAAGCTGTACAGTTAATGCCCACTCCTTAATTACTAATTTTTATATATGTATATTTACTTATAGTCAGTTGTTATCAAACTGTAGTTGTAGATTTTGAAAGACTTTTTAATAAAATCAATTTTCTGACATATATTTTATATGTACAGTATTCTACTTGTCACTATACTACCTGTTTGCCTTAGCTCAGTTCATGGAACGTATAATCATTTAACTATAAATAATAGCAGTATTAGAAAAAGTAAGAGCTATATAAAAAACAACAGCTCGATTTATGGTAATTTTATAAATAAGCACTATCACTCATTTTTATAGTTAGATTGAACAAATCATTGTGTTTATCTGTGAGTGAATTTAAGCATGATTCTTTTTCCTCCAAACTTTAAATATTCCTAAAAGAATATGCGTATGAGTTCTAAATTACCATTATTCATTGTCCTTGTCTCTCTGACTCTAGCTTCAGCCTTTGGTGAACTTTTCAACTTCATATGATAGAGGAGTGGATCTACTTCAGCAATGTTTCTCTCTTTTTTCCCTTACTAGCACACCTCTTGCAGACCCAGAGTCTAGTGTAGTTCTTTTTCTTCAAAAACATTCTCCTCCCTTTTTTTTTTATCTCTGTAATTTTATTTATTGAGATAGAAAATGGGGACTAAAGAACTGATAGTAAAATTTTGTCATTTTTCATTGAATTTCAAATTGGACTCGGCAGATATTATTACCTGCTCTGAGTCAGGTCATGAGTTTAGTTCTGGGGAGTCATTGAGCGAATAAGCTCAGTCTCTTGGAGGCTTGTGCCTTGTAGGACATAGTCACAGATACTCCATACATATTGCAGGGTGCTGTGAACAGAGTGTTATGAAACTTAGGGGAGAGAGAGAAGACCTTCCCGAGAGGATGACATTTGAATAGGCTAGAAAGATAGATGGATGGATGCCAATGAGAGAGAGAAGATAGGTGGATGTGTGCCAATAAGAGGGAGAAGGGATATTCTAGTTATCATGAATAGTGTGCAATGTAAGAGGGTGTGAAACTCTGGGTTGTCACTGGGAAACTTCATACAGTCCATTTAGCTAAAATACAGCCATTGGAAAGTGAATAAGAAATTAATTATTCATTACATGGTATGTAAGAGTCTTACATACTACACCAATGTGGGCTTTGTCCTTAGTTTAGTGGGGAGCTATCAAAGCTTTTTAAAGCAGGACATTAATAGTGATTTTATTTCTGTTTTAAGAGCTGCAAACTTAGTTGTCTTTAGGGATCAAGCAAGAAACAAATATAAAACTGCCGAATGTAAGACAGAAGGGAATGGTAGGGCCCACAGCTATTTGAAATCACTTTTTCTGCCTAATCATAGAATACTGACCAAAGCCAGTGTGAAGTCAGACACCTGCTCAGGGTTATTCTGGACAGCTCTTTGGAGGGTGTTGTTCAGTGTTTGGCAGTGGTATTTTTCAAGTAAATGAAGGACGTGTGGGGCATGTTTGTTGCCTATGGAGACTCATTAAGAGGCTATTAAAATAATTCAAACAAGAAGTGATAATGTTTGAGTTAGGACACAAAACTGAGAAATTGTAGGCATAGGTAGGTAGAGATACAGGAAGTACTGAAACAAAATGGTAGAATCATTAGGATTTGATTACAGTTACAGGTAAAGAGAGGGAAGAATTGCAGATGACTGAGAGCTCCAACTGGAATTGAGTGGGTGGTGTTGCTATGAATCAACACAGAAGAAAACACTTTGGGGGAGAGAAGAAGATACTGTTTTTTTTTGTTTGTTTTATATTACTTTGATTAACACATAAAAATTGTATATACTTAGGGGATAACTATTATTCTACTTTTGTAATCACTATTCTACTCTCAACTTCTATGTGATCAACTTCTTTAGACTTTCCATGTGAGTGAGATCATGCAGCATTTGTCTTTCTGTGCCTGGATTATTTCACTTAAAATAATGTCCTCCAGGTTCATCCATGTGTCATAAATGACAGTATTTTATGGTTGCATTGTACTCCATTGCACATGTATACCACATTTTCTTTATGCATTTTTTTTGTGGGGTGGGGTGAGGATTTATTTAATTAGGGTAACTTAATTAGTCATGGCTATCCTTTTTGCGGTATCATTTTGGAGTCTAGCTCTCATTCTTATGCATTCATTAATTATTTTTTGGCTAGAAATTGTCTTTTTTTGTGGGACTAGTGTTTGAAATCAGGGCTTTGTGCTTACAAAGAAAGTGCTCTACCACTTGAGCCACACCTCAGTCCATTTTACTCTGTTTATTTTGGAGAAGGGGTTTCACAACCTGTTTGCCTGGCCTAGCCTCAAACCACAATCCTCCTGACATCAGCCTCAATCAGCTAGGATTATAGGTGTGAGCCACTGAGGCCCAGCCTAGAGTCATTTTTCAAAGGAAAATCTGAGTTTTGCCTATAAGCATTTTCTTAGCACACATCTGTGGATTTAGCTACATATCAGGTACAAATCCTGGTTAGAGATCTTGATTTTTCTAATAAGGTATCAACATTATACTGTTGTCAAATGATACAGTTTTGCTCACTCTTAGGTTTTACTATAGAATAGAATCAATCACCAATTCTCACCTTTAAACCAAAATACAATTATGATAAGTAGGATGTAAAAGAAAATGCTCAGATTCTTTCAGAGGTTTAGAAATTTGTTGTTGAAATCACTAAGAGATGGGTGCTTATATTATGTTGGCTTTAATTTCTGACAAATTGCTTTTTATCTATATATCATGTGTATGTCCTTCTCCTTCTATTGTTAATCTCCTCAGTGTGCACTGAAAGGCCCTGTAGGAAGCAATGCAAAGAGCTTCATTATTGTATATACTGTAAGGCTAATGTCAAGGCTGTTGAGCCTTTGCAGATAAAAGGTCTCCTTTATCCAGATCTTGTAGAATATTCTCTCAGAACTTAAAGACAGCAAAAGCGATTTTTGTTTCTTGTTTTTTCTCCTCTTAAGTTACTGGTGTGTTTTGATATTGTAGCCACCGAATTGTATACTGTGTTCCTCCCAATTTGCTCTGACTGTTAGGAACTTGAGAGTCAAAGTTATAATTCAGCAGATACCTGTTGTAAAAAGCCATTAAGATTTTTTTATGTATGTTAAGTTACATCTTTCACCTGTTCTTACTATTTAACAATTTAAGTCAGTCTCTTTTTTTAAAATTTTTTGTGATTAGATTTTTTTGTGAGAATTCACTAATCTTTCTTAGTAATGAAATACAATGATTTAAGTACATTAGTTTTAATTTTTTACCTATTACAAATAATGCAGCAAGCATCATACCTGCATTTCGGTTAGATATATTGCCAGGACTACAACTGCTGAGATACAGCATATGTGTGGAGTTTCAGTAGTCAATTTTTCAAAAAGGTTGTGTAAATTACCCTCTTGCTAGCACTGAGTAAGTGTTCCATTTGCCAGCATTTGGTGGTCATTTCTGAACTTTTAAAAATGGTTTTGCTTCTTTGTTACAGTGTTTTGTAACTGCTTTCCCTGATGACTGATGGACTCAAGTGCTCATTTATTCATGCGTTTATTGTCAATGGATATTCCCAGCTATCCATCCTAGCCATTAGACCCTTATTTTCCTTTTGTGCTATTGATCTGCTCATGTCAGCATTATACTGTCTTATTGCCATAACTTTGTATGTCTTTACCTGTTTTAGTATATGCTCTATGGCATTGTTCTTCAAGATTTTGTTGACTGTTCTTAGCCCTTTAAATTGCCACGTGAATGTTAGAATCTGCTTATTAGTTTCTACAAATAAAAAGTTTGCTCTAATTTTGATTAGAATTTCAGTTGTTCTAGGAGATTATTTTGATGAAGATTTTAATCTGTGAACATGGCATATGCTTTTATATATTTAACTCTAGCTTATTTTAACCTGATAATGTCGTGTTTTTGTTAGACTTATTCGCAGATATTTGTTTTTTAAAATATTTAAATTTTCTTAATTTTCAAATTCTTTGTTCTGCTATGTAGAAATTAACCACATTTTTAAAATTTTACTTTTTATTTTTACTTTTTAATCTTTAAAAGTTGTTATCAATTTTTAATTCTTAAGTTCTTAGTGTTAGCTATAGATTTTTACCATTTTCTACTCATACAGTCTTTTTACTGCTAGTTGTAATTCTTTTTCTTTCTCTTTCTTTTCCTGTTATTTTTTTCTTGCCTTGCTACATTGTCTGTAGAATCAGCACATCTCACTGCTCATGCTATTGATACTTTTGTTTATTTATTGCACTAACTTATTTGATTAACACTTAACTTGTGCCTTTTAAATATCTGACTCTGTTTTATTTAATAGTGAGTTGAATTCAAAGCTGCAAGACACTTTAGAACAAATTGAGGTAAGAAGGGTTTTACTGTAAGTTAAATGGCTTTTTCTTCCCAGTGGCTTTTGAATAGCACAGGTGCAACATTGCATTTTGGCGTTTATGTTATTATCAATGTTCCTACATCACTATGTTTAATCTCTTCATTTGGAATGTCCATAAATCGCCAAGCTAGGGTTAATCTACTTGTAAATTCAATATGCTTTTGGAATTATGAAACCTCAAAACAGTACTTGAAAGTATCACTATTTCCAGAAAAAAAAGTCTCCAAACTATTAGTTGTAGGTATATTCTCATGTAAATTATATTATAGCCAAAATACTTTACATATACTAATTATATTTTATTTACTACTTTTCTTATTTAGTTTAGTGAGTTAATTTACTTTTGAGTGATTATTGGCTTACTGTGAAAAACCCTGTTAAAATTTTAAACTTCCTAATCATATCTCATACAATTCCTTAAAAATGTAGAAACTGAAAAAAAAAAAAAAGATAGTCCTTGTGAGCATGAAGCCTTGCTTGTATTCCTAATTCATTTCTTCCCTTGGGAGTCTTTGCAAAGCAGACTTTTCATTTTAATATAAACAAGAATTATTTGATTATTTTCCTAGTGTTTTATATTATTGCTTTCCTGATAAGGTTCTTAGAATGCTTAAAGTTGGACTTTCAAGTGACCTTTTGTGAAAGTAGTCTTTGATCATAAGTGCAAGTATTTGCTAATTGTAAGAATGAATTTATTTGATAATCACAAAAGCATCTGCTTAGAATCCTGTAAGTAAACTGTCCTCTGAAAATTTTTAATGAAGGCTTTCTACTGAGAGCTTAGTATTTCTTCACTCTTAATATAAAATATTATTGTATATTTTGTTGAGTCATTATTTAAAAAATGAAATCATTGAAATGGAAACCCACAAAGAAGTGCATTTACATATAAAAGCATAAACCTTGAGGTATATACTTTTAAAGTCAGTGTTTTTGAAAATTACTTGTCTTTGATTACAGAAAGGTTGTTTTATTACTTTTCTAATAGTCCCACAAATTTGGTTCATATGTAATTGTAATGTTTTAGCAGAGGCTTGAGGTTATATAAGTGAGAAAGATAAAAATAAGATTGAAACTCTTATATTTACTTTTTTCCCTTGAAACATATGGTGAGTTTCAAGGTATAGAAATTGATGCTAGTAATATCACAGTAAACTTGATTATGGTGGCTAATAAATTATAACTATAACTGTACTTGTATTTAATTTAAATTTGTTTTTAACTACTAAATCCAGTATGCTAGTAAATAGGTATTAATTATAAATGACAGATTAGTCTTAATATTTTCTTTTCATTGCCTTGAAAATAATTCTCTAACCACCTCTTATTTCCTCTTTTAATTTCAAAGGAACAATTGGATGTAGCTCTTTCTAAAATCTGCAAGAATTTTGACATTAATCATTATACCAAGGTTCAACAAGCTTATCGACTTCTTGGAAAAACACAGGTTAGTTTTAAAAGGATGGTCCCTTTTTTTCTTAATCAGAAATCTATTGACTTTCATGCTAATATTGCTAAAGAGTGTCCTTAAGGTTTCATTTAATGAAGTACATTTTTAATGCTAAATTAACAGTGCTAACATAGTTTTCACATAGACTCAGAATGTGTACAGTGTGATTAAAACATACAGAAGTTTGGGACTGTGAAGTGCTTGTCAGGTTAATATTTTTTATTTTATATAGGTTTTAGGAGAAGTATATTACATTTGTGAGGTGGAAACAGGAGAATCACTGTTTCAAGGCCAGCCTCTGCTACACAATTAGACCCTGTCTCAAAAACAAGAAAATAAATAAAGCCTGCCCAAAACCAAAAACCAAAACAAACAAAAACAACAACAAAAAAAAAACCATCCCAAACCCCTCAACCCCAATAAAGTATAGTGCAGGTGATGTATACTCTTTTACCTTCGTGCTTGGTCCTGGAATGTGGCTCCTTAATATGGTGCTTCATTGTTTCATTGTTTCCTAAGTAGGCCAGCATGACTCCCTATAAAAGAGATCCATTGCATTTATCAGACTTTTCAGAGGATCCTGTTAGCCCCCAAAAGTCATAACTTCTCTGGTAATACATGCCAGAGTACTGGTTGGAAGTACTGGTTTACATAGGATAGTCAGGAAAGGCTTCTCTGAGTAGTCAACCATGAGAGTGTCCTGAACAATGTACAAGAATGAATGTCTGATGGCAGTGGGAATCCAGAGGTGTGATTATTGATTGTACATGCCATGTTTTATAAATAAAGAGCAACTCAGTGTTTACATTTTAGACTTGAGTGGTATGATGTCATGGTTATATGAAGGGTTATTTGCAAATTATCTGCACTACAGTTAATTCTAGGAATAATACTGATCTTTTGTGCTTATAGTAATAATTGTGAAGATTGTTTCCAGTCTGTTGAAATTTAATTTAAGAATATGAACTTAATGTTCATATGAACTGTATGTTTGCTTTCCACAGACTGCAATGGATCAACTTCATATGCACTTTACTCAAGCCATTCACAATACTGTCTTTCAAGTTGTCCTTGGTTATGTGGAAACTATGTTGCAGGAAACACGGATACAAAATTCCAAAAGCTGCAATACAAAGATCTCTGTACAGTATGTAGTAGCTTAATTATTGTTCATATGTCTCCCTCTTAGGTTTTAAATTGATACTCCCTTTTTCTCTGTACCTACCACTTGAAGATGCTACTAAAAGAAGAACAAACATGCTTGCCCAAAGCTTTTTCTTTTCTCCTGTAATATTCTTCATAGAAAAACTGAAGATTCAGTCATACAAATGTAAGGCTGCTGATACTGTAGTACATTTGCTTCTAATTGACTTTCTGCCTTCTAGCTTTTAGTTTTCTTCTCTGGCTGTGAATTCTCCTTGCATTGAATCTTGGATGCTTCTAAGGAATTATCTTTGTCCAGTTTTCTGTGTATATACATGTGATCTGTCAGTATCTATAGCCAGTTTTTCCTTTTCACTCTTAAAAATAAACAAATTTTTTAGGTAATACAACACAATAAGTAAGAAGTCCAAGTGAGTAGATTTGAGTTCTTTTTGAAGTAGGTCTTATTGATGGTGTGATACAGAGTATAAGAAAGAGAATGAGGAACAAGTAGGAAATGGTAGTGACATTTGCACATTTGCTTTTATAGGAATGGTTGGGAAGCAGCAAGACTACAGTAGAAATCATGCATTCTGTTTGATATCTTTTTTTTCTTTTATTATTCCTATGGGCATACAATGCTTGGGTCATTTCTCCCCCCTGCCCCACCCACTCGCCCCCTCCCTCTCCCCACCCCCCCTCAATACCCAGCAGAAACTATTTTGCCCTTATTTCTAATTTTGTTGTAGAGAGAGTATAAGCAATAATAGGAAGGAACAAGGGTTTTTGCTAGTTGAGATAAGGATAGCTATACAGGGCATTGACTCACATTAATTTCCTGTGCGTCGGTGTTACCTTCTAGGTTAATTCTTTTTGATCTCACCTTTTCTCTAGTTTGTGGTCCCCTTCTCCTATTGGCCTCAGTTGCTTTTAAGGTATCTGCTTTAGTTTCTCTGCATTAAGGGCAACAACTGCTAGCTAATTTTGTAGGTGTCTTACCTATCCTCACCCCTCCCTTGTGTGCTCTCGCTTTTATCATGTGCTCAAAGTCCAATCCCCTTGTTGTGTTTGCCCTTGATCTAATGTCCACATATGAGGGAGAACATACGATTTTTGGTCTTTTGGGCCAGCTAACCTCACTCAGAATGATGTTCTCCAATTCCATCCATTTACCAGCGAATGATAACATTTCGTTCTTCTTCATGGCTGCATAAAATTCCATTGTGTATAGATACCACATTTTCTTAATCCACTCATCAGTGATGGGGCATCTTGGCTGTTTCCGTAACTTGGCTATTGTGAATAGTGCCGCAATAAACATGGGTGTGCAGGTGCTTCTGGAGTAGCCATTGTCACAGTCTTTTGGGTATATCCCCAAGAGTGGTATTGCTGGATCAAATGGTAGATCATGTTAGCTTTTTAAGTAGCCTCCAAATTTTTTTCCAGAGTGGTTGTACTAGTTTACATTCCCACCAACAGTGTAAGAGCGTTCCTTTTTCCCTGCATTCTCGCCAACACCTGTTGTTGGTGGTGTTGCTAATGATGGCTATTCTAACAGGGGTGAGGTGGAATCTTAGTGTGGTTTTAATTTGCATTTCCTTTATTGCTAGAGATGGTGAGCATTTTTTCATGTGTTTTTTGGCCATTTGAATTTCTTCTTTTGAGAAAGTTCTGTTTAGTTCACTTGCCCATTTCTTTATTGGTTCATTAGTTTTGGGAGAATTTAGTTTTTTAAGTTCCCTATATATCTGGTTATCAGTCCTTTGTCTGATGTGTAGCTGGCAAATATTTCTCCCACTCTGTGGGTGTTCTCTTCAGTTTAGAGACCATTTCTTTTGATGAACAGAAGCTTTTTAGTTTATGAGGTCCCATTTATCTATGCTATCTCTTAGTTGCTGTGCTGCTGGGGTTTCTTGAGAAAGTTCTTACCTATACCTACTAACTCCAGAGTATTTCCTACTCTTTCCTGTATCAACTTTAGAGTTTGGTCTGATATTAAGATCCTTGATCCATTTTGAGTTAATCTTGGTATAGGGTGATATACATGGATCTAGTTTCAGTTTTTTGCAGACTGCTAACCAGTTTTCCCAGCAGTTTTTGTTGAAGAGGCTGCTATTTCTCCATCGTATATTTTTAGCTCCTTTGTCAAAGACAAGTTGGTTATAGTTGTGTGGCTTCATATCTGGGTCCTCTATTCTGTTCCACTGGTCTTCATGTCTGTTTTTGTGCCAGTACCATGCTGTTTTTATTGTTATTGCTTTGTAATATAGTTTGAAGTCAGGTATTGTGATACCTCCTGCATTGTTCTTTTGACTGAGTATTGCCTTGGCTATTCGTGGCCTCTTGTGTTTCCATATAAATTTCAGTAGATTTTTCAATCTCTTTAATGAATGTCATTGGAATTTTGATGGGAATTGCATTAAACATGTAGATTACTTTTGGGAGTATGACATTTTTACTATGTTGATTCTACCAATCCATGAGCATGGAGATCTCTCCACTTTCTATAGTCTTCCTCAATCTCTTTCTTCAGAAGTGTATAGTTTTCCTTGTAGAGGTCTTTCACATCTTTTGTTAGGTTTACACCTAGGTATTTGATTTTTTTTGAGGCTATTGTAAATGGAATTGTTTTCATATATCTTTTTTCAGTTTGCTCATTGTTAGTGTATAGAAATGCTAATGATTTTTCTATGTTGATTTTATATCCTGCTACCTTGCTATAGCTATTGATGATGTCTAGAAGCTTCTGAGTAGAGTTTTTTGGGTCTTAAGGTATAGGATCATTCGTCTGCAAATAGGGATATTTTGACAGTTTCTTTACCTATTTGTATTCCTTTTATTCCTTCTTCTTGCCTAATTGCTCTGGCTAGGAATTCCAGTACTATGTTGAATAGGAGTGGAGATAGTGGGCATCCTTGTCTGGTTCCTGATTTTAGAGGGAATGGTTTTCAGTTTTTCTCCATTAAGTATAATGCTGGCTGTAGGTTTGTCATATATAGCTTTTATAATGTTGAGGTACTTTCCTTCTATTCTAGTTTTCTTAGAGCTTTTATCATGAAATGATGTTGGATCTTATCAAAGGCTTTTTCTGCATCTATTGAGATGATCAAGTGGTTTTTGTCTTTGCTTCTGTTAATGTGGTTTATTACTTTATTGATTTTCGTATGTTGAACCACCCCTGCATCCTGGGATGAAGCCTACTTGGTCGTGGTGAATATCTTTTTGATGTTTGTTGAATTCGTTTGCCATTATTTTGTTGAGGATTTTTGCATCAATGTTCATTAAGGAGATTGGCCTATAGTTCTCCTTTTTGGAGGTGTCTTTGCCTGGTTTTGGGATAAGTGTAATACTGGCTTCATAAAATGTGTTTGGCAGTTTTCCTTCCCTTTCTATTTCATGGAACAGTTTAAGGAGGGTTGGTATCAGTTCTTCTTTAAAGGTCTGATAGAATTCAGCAGAGAATCCATCAGGTCCTGGACTTTTCTTTTGGGGAGACTCTTGATTGCTGCTTCAATTTCATTTTGTGTTATAGGTCTATTCAGGTGATTAATTTCCTCTTGGTTCAGTTTTGGATGATCATATGTATCTAGAAATCTGTCCATTTCTTTTAAGATTTTCAAATTTATTTGAATATAGGTTCTCAAAGTAGTCTCTGATGATTTCCTGGACTTCCATGGTGTTTGTTGTTATCTCCCCTTTTGCATTCCTGATTCTACTAATTTGGTTTTTTCTCTCCTCATTTTAGTCAGGTTTGCCAGGGGTCTATCGATCTTGTTTATTTTTTCAAAGAACCAACTTTTTGTTTCATTAATTCTTTGTATGGTTTTTTTGGTTTCTATTTCATTGATTTCAGCTCTTATTTTTATTATTTCTCTCCTTCTATTTGTTTTGGGATTTGCTTGTTCTTGTTTTTCTAGGAGTTTGAGATGTATCATTAGGTCATTGATTTGGGATCTTTCAGTTTTTTAATATATGCACTCATGGCTATAAACTTTCCTCTCAGGACTGCCTTAGCTGTGTCCCATAGGTTTCCGGTAGGTTGTGTTTTCATTTTCATTGACTTCCAGGAACTTTTTAATTTCCTCTTTTTTCATCGATGATCCATTCTTCATTAAGTAATGAGTTATTTAGTTTCCAGCTGTTTGCATGTTTTTGTCTTTATTTTGTTGTTGAGTTCTACTTTTACTGCATTGTGATCAGATAGTATGCACGGTATATTTCTATTTTCTTATATTTGCTGAGGCTTGCTTTGTGCCTAGGATATGATCTATTTTGGAGAAGGTTCCATGGGCTGCTGAGAAGAATGTATATTGTGTAGAGGTTGGATGAAATGTTCTGTAGACATCAACTAGGTCCATTTGATCTATTGCAATTTTAGATCTTGGATTTCTTTATTGATTTTTTGTTTGGATGACCTATCTATTGATGATAATGGGTGTTAAAGTCTCCCACAACCATGTGTTGGCGTTATATATGCTTTTAGGTCTTTCAGGGTATGTTTGATGAAATTGGGTGCGTTGACATTGGGTGCAAACAGGTTGATGATTATTATTTCCTTTTGGTCTATTTCCCCTTTTATTAGTATGGAATGTCCTTCTTTATCTCGTTTGATCAATGTAGGTTTGAAGTCTACTTTGTCAGAGATAAGTATTGCTACTCCTGCCTGTTTTCGGGGGCCATTGGCTTGGTAAATCTTCTTCCAGTCTTTCATCCTAAGCCTATGCTTATTTCTGTCAGTGAGATGGATCTCCTGTAAGCAACAAATTGTTGGATCTTCCTTTTTAACCATTTCGTCAAATGGTGCCTTTTTATGGGTGAATTAAGTCCATTAACATTAAGCATTACTACTGATAGGTATGTGGTGATTCCTGTCATTTAGTTGTCTTAGTTGTTTGCAGGTTCAATTGTGTGTACCTAAGTTGAGGTTACTCTCTACTGTCTTGCTTTTTTCTTTTCCTGTGGTTTGGTGCTGCCTGTCTTTCATGGTTAGTTGGGTTTCACTTTCTGTGTGCAGAATCCTTGCAGAATCTTTTGTAGTGGTGGCTTTGTGTCACATATTGTTTTAGTTTCTGCTTATCATGGAAGACTTTTCATTGCTCCATCTTTTGAATGATAGTTTTGCGCGGTAGAGTATCCTGGGGTTGAAGTTATTTTCATTCAGTGCCGAAGATCTCACCCAACGCTCTTCTTGCTTTTAATGTTTCTGTTGAGAAGTCTGCTGTGATTTTGATGGTTTACCTTTGTATGTTACTGTTTTTTTCTCTTACAGCCTTATATTCTTTCCTTAGTTTTCTGAACTTGTGTTTTTTAATATGATATGTCGTGGGGTAGTTCTATTTTGATCTGGTCTGTTTGGTGTCCTGGAGGCCTCTTGCATCTGTATGGGAATATCTTTCTCTAATTTGGGAAATTTTCTCGTTATTATTTGTTGAATATTTACCATTCCTTTGCTTGCACCTCTTCTCTTTTTGATGCCCATGTATCTCAAGGTTTGGTCTTTTGATGAGTGGTGAGTTTCTTGCATTTCTTTTCACAGGTCTTGAGTTGTTTAATTAATAGTTTCTTCAGTTTTTCTTTAATTACATTTCATCTTCAGTTCTGAGATTCTGTCTTCTGTTTGTTCTATTCTGCTGGATTGGCTCTTCTGTTTGTTGTGCAGTTCTGTTTCGTTCTT